GGCTGGTTTTTACTACTTTTTGACATTTTCGAGAGAAAAAAAATCAACAGATTAATTGAAAGTGTAAATAAGTGTTTGTAGCACCTCTAGTCTTATGTCATAATAAAATGACTATATTTGGGTTTTGGACTTAATTGGACCATTAATTAATAAAAATAAAATAAAAGCCGACCTAAATGAAAATGTGTTAAAAATGTTGTTAAAAGCAAGGAGTGTGACAATGTGCTGGTGTGAAGATAGTGACACAGACCACCTAGGTCTTCCACAAAAAGCTTCTTTTGTCATTCACTTTGTCCTCCTTTACATTTACTGTAGTCATCAACCTTGGGACCCTATGGACCAGCAGGGTCCTTCTGTTATTAAAAACAGCAAATGAAAGTAGACTTTGGTGGACCTACAGCGTGCCAGGTGGATCCAGCTGTCAGCTCAGACTTCTCCAGCAGCACCACATCCTTCATGCCACCTTTGGCCAGATGATAGGCCACGCTGACCCCCACACATCCACCACCAATGACGACAGTTTCTGCAGTGTCCTTCCACCTCTTCCCCAAAACTGAGGACGCAGCACTGAAGAAAGAAAAGGAAGAGGACGAATTACAGGTGAATATCACAGCTCCAACATGCACAAGTGCACTTCACTGTCTGTTTACAAAGTTCCACAACTTGAAAAATGTTGTCATACCTGCAACAAGAGACATATTGAAGTCACCATGTTGCACAACCACCATAACAACGTTGACTTTACTACCAGTTCTGCGTGAAGTCAGCATGTCACACAACAGTGTTGTTGCATGAATCAATCAGCTGTGCAGCGTTAAGCGCCTGAGACATAATGCACTTATTTTATACGATCAAAACTGCCCGGCTAAGGCGTGTTTAATGACATGTCCAGCTTACATGAGTGTTGCTTCGTTCAAAATTAAACTATCTCACCTCTGTTCAGCTTGTTTTCTTGAAGTGCAGCAGATGGTCCTTAACGGAAGGCGAGACGCGGTTAAATCTCTCCGCAAGTTAGAGTTGATTAGGTTTAATATCCGCGACATAATTGCGGTAGTATTTAAACTAACTATATATGCAGATCAAAGCATAACTTCCCCCCCCTCTCACCGGACCCCTGCACTGCGTAGTTACAAATATCCCACTTCTGCACTGACAGGGGCGTTTGCACGCCCACAGGTGGAGGACCAAGTCTGGATGAAACTTTACCCGGATCAACCCTCAGCCAAGTTAACACTTTGTGTGCCTTAAGACCAAATATAGGCCACATAGCCACTGAAACACATGTGCATGGTTTCAATATATTTAATTATTTTAATTGATCTATTATGAACACCTCACTGTAAAAAAAATAATACCTCAATACAAGAAAAAGTACTGCACTGAAAAGTAAGTAGAAGTATGTAAGTATAATCAGTAAAATGTACTTAAAGTATTAAAAGTGAAAGTACTCAATGCAGAAAAATAAATGTCCCCTGTGACTGTTACAGTATATTATATCATTAGATTATCATGCATTCATTTAAAAGCAGGATTTTACTGTTGAAGTTAGTTTAAGGTTTAACTCCAAACCTCAGAATTATTGAAAAATACATTAAAACAGTCAAAAGGAAAAGCAGCAAATCTTTACACTTGTGAAGCTGAAACCATGAAATGTTTTACATGAAAAATTACTTAAACGGTTATCAAAATAGTTGCCACTTTTCCACAAACATACCTGTACTTGTATAAACTGTTGGGTAGTTGAATTTATAACAAAACATCATATTTTTAAGATTTGTGTGCATTTGTGTGTAATAGCTGAAGCTGCTAGTTACTGTCAATCACTAATTAGGTCACCAAAGTTATTACAATTTATTCTGACCACATTTCATGGCAATCCATCTAATGTTGTTTTTCCTGCTATTCTGAAAATACAACCAATAAAGGTATGCCCTAGTTAGTTGAGCCTGTCTCATGTAAGTTGTTTAAAATGTAAACAACAGTCACAAGGGGGTGACACGGTGGTTAGCACTGTTGCCTCACAGCACCAAGGTTGTGGGTTCAAACCCCGGTTGCCCCTGCCTTTCTGTGTGGAGTTTGCATGTTCTCCCCATTTCTGCGTGGGTTATCTCCAAGTGCTCCGGCTTCCTCCCACCATCTGAAGACATGCAGGCTAGGTTAATCCTGGATTGTCCTTAGTGGTTGTCTGTTTATGCGATGGACTGGCGACCTGTCCAGGGTGTACCTTAGATCCTTTGACTAAATTCTATTGATCAATCTAAAGATCAACTCAACAGCAGGCATGTAAATGAAAGAGAGATGTTCATCTGCAAAACAAATTTTACTTTATTTTATTTGTAATTCAGATTTAATGGGCAACTGTGTGTGAGAGAGATATCTAAATGTCTAAATATCTTTGTTTGTCAAGCTGTTTTAACATTTACATATTGAAACTTACTTGTTGCTATTTAAAAGCTACTAGTACTTATCTGTTACTGTTAGCTATTCCATTAGTTACTAGTAGCTATTCCCAGTTTACTAGTAACAGTTAAATACCAGCACTTAATTTTTAGTTACTAGTAACTAATTGCACATTTATGATATTGAGATCTACGGGGCTCTGCAGTTCAGATATCACCTTTTCATGAGTAACTGGTAACAAATTGAAAAGTTACTAGTCACCATTTCCATTTTACAAGTCACTCTTATTATCTAAACAATTGTTACTAGTAAAATGGGAAAATCTAAAAAAAATAAGTACTAGTAGCTTTTAAATAGCAACTAATAAGTTTCAAGGAATACATGTTAAAACAGCTTGCCATAGTGTTAGTGTATGAGCTACTATGGTGGAGTAGACGCAACTATATATAAGTTACACAACAACAGGTGGAGTATATGTGCTGCCGCTATCTGTGGTGGGACTGCAACATGCTGGACTGTTTGCTTTAAGCATTTTCCAAGAGGGGAAAAACCAGACTCGTCTTTCATACCTACATTTGTTTGTACTCAATGAAAGTTCTTATCTGGCTCCAGTAGATACACTGGGAGAGTTTAGAACAAATTATTTCATTTTCAGGTTAAACATTTTTAGCTAAATCCGAGACATATTGCCTTATCATTATATGTTTTGTCAATATAATCAATAAATCAGTACAGTTCACCATGAAGATTTAATGTGGGTTTATTCACACAGCCCCACAGAGTTTCTCTCCAGACTAAGTTTTGTATTTTGACTTTTCTCCTCTGGCCCCCGTCAGTCGAACATACCAACGGTTGCCTGGACTCAGTCTTTTGTGTTGATCTTGACTTTGATTGCCAGAAGATGTCATCCCCATGGTAATTTGGACTGAGAGTGTGTGGGATGTAAATAATAAGTTGTGCTTCTCTACTTTTCTAAGTTGTTTTGGCCTCTAAGGATTCACTTATTGGATGTTTTATTGTGGTTAAATCGTTTTTGTAGTGGTGGATAAGATATTAGGCTAGAAACTAGAGCAGTGAAACACACTGACCGATGAGCTGAGTAATAATTTATTATGGTGAATTATTGAATTAATAATGTTAATTGAGAAGTGTGTTGGCATAAATCTTAAAACACTGCTGGTGGTCCAGTAACCAAAACATTTGTCTTGTCACCTTTTCACTTTCACACATTGTGCACCATGTGAGCATTGTGTGTGTACAAAATTCTTTTCTTCTTCTTTCTTGAAGTTGCATCAGGGCATAGTCAAGCCAAATGTATAGTGGTAAACTATGGTATATTAATGTGGTATATTAATAAAGGCCTTGCTTACATGGTAAACCCAAACAGGTCATTTTAATTATTAACGTTTTTATTGCAGCAGCATTTCTATCAAGGAAGGCACGCTAAACAAAAAAACCTGTGTGCAGCATCTTTAAGTGAACATAATGTCTACTGTTTTTAAAAGTGTGTCACTGTTTTGTTGATACTGAATGTTGATTTTTTTTTGATAACTATTAAAGGTAATTGCTAAAAACAATATCTAAATTTGAAAAATGTCAAATATGGCTTTGAATGAGATTTTCAACCATTTTGTGAGGTTCTGATGTGTTTTTTTCTAATCAGTACATTTCTATACTTAAAAATGTTTTAAATGATGCAAACTTTGCTGGAACAGGCGTCAGGACAGGATCGCACGTAGATATACTGTAGCTTTTTAAATCAATTATGAAACAAACATAATAATAAGTTTTTTTTCCCTTAAACTTCAATTACCTCAAATAAAGTGCTTTAAAAAACACCTACTCCTTCTTCTTCATTGCAAAATCCAAAATGTATATTTCCTTCTCCTGTACTAGAAAGTCCATTCTCACTGCTTGTGCACTGGAGGGCATATTGGACCATGATTGGCTCCAAACTAGTTGTAGTTGAAGTTGGTTGACACAAAGTCCTGCTCATACCGAACGTGCAAATCGTAAATCCAGATTTATGGTGAGCAGAAACTTTCTCCCTTCAGTGGAAACAACCTTCTGGTGTCAAAGACATACATCATTCTGCACAGTGAAGCTCAAACACCCAGTAAGAGAGGAAGAGGTGGAAGTCTTAAGGGATAAAAATCATGCATGCAGATTATGGCTGGATTAGGGCTTTTAAAACTCTCATTCACCACATGTTTCTGGGTTTGGGATCTTTCCCAGAAAATATTTAAATTTTCCACATCAGCATAATGGATTATATATTTTCAGAAAATAATTTAAATGGACTCATCTTTAAAATCTGCATTTCTACAGCTTCTGTGTTTTGCATTAATTTATGGCAAAAAAAAAAATCACGTTAAACCTGATCATCCTTTGATCTGCATGATTCAAATTCTCTTAATTGTCCAGTTCTCAATCGATGTATTCAATACAACATAATACCAAGGTGCCCAGACTTTTCTGTGGTAAACTAAACAATGTGTTGTCTTGTGCAAACTTGCCAAAAGAAACTATGTAGGAGGCGGTTGGTTCTTGCAGTGACATCAGGAGCACCGCACCCCTCCTGGATTATAAATGCAGCATGGATGCCTGCGCAAACTCCTTTCCAAACTCAGAGGGACGCTGCAGCTGAGAAGAGTGGGCCGTTCGCTGCTGTAATATTCATCATGGCACCAGCTGGGGCAAAGAAGGTCAGTAGGCTACGCACGCTGAGATGAGTAAATAAGATGTTTTGATCTCACAGAATGAATAGTTTTAACTTCAGCTCAAGTTTTGAAGCCACGGCGTTGACGTTTCGGTTGCGTAAAATGTTTTGCATAGGTCCCTACTACCAGATTTATTAACAGACGTGTGCGCGTTTCTGTGCTGTGATTTGCTTCTTTCTTGCATAATTTACGCAGAGCATTTTGGAGCGTCTGGATGCAGGAGAGATCGTTATCGGGGACGGAGGTTTTGTTTTCGCCCTTGAGAAGAGAGGTTATGTCAAAGCAGGACCGTGGACACCTGAGGCTGCCGCCGAGCACCCTGAAGCGGGTACTTCTACTGCTCTTTATCTTTCTTTCTGCTCAGAACATTTAATAACTGTCTGTCTCCCAGCTTGTAAATGCAGTTTTGTGGCGGATCACATGCTGAACGAGGCACCTTCTTGTTTCAGTGCGGCAGCTGCACAGGGAGTTCCTGAGAGCTGGCTCCAATGTCATGCAGACATTCACTTTCTACGCAAGCGATGATAAACTGGAGAACAGGGGCCACACTCAGCGCTTCACTGTGAGTGTGTGTGACTGCAGCTGCTCTGAAGCCTCATCTTGACTCATGGACTGGAGATGGCAGCTTGACCGCAGAGTTGGCATGAAACCAACTGCCTGCATGAAACAGGGTACTTTGTGTTCTCTTGACCTAAACTTGGGGTGTGACTGTGTGTTGTTGTTTTGCTTCAGGGGCAGCAAATAAACGAGGCAGCTTGTGACCTGGCCAGGGAGGTGGCCAATGAGGGTGATGCTCTGGTGGCAGGAGGAGTCTCTCAGACCCCTTCTTACCTCAGCTGCAAGAGTGAGGATGATGTCAAGGCCATCTTCAAGAAGCAGATTGATGTCTTTGTCACGAAAGATGTGGACTTCTTGATTGCAGAGGTCTGTAAACACTTATCCCCCCCAACCCCCATATTATAGCTGATGTCCGTAAATCGGATCCAATATCTGAAATAAAGGGGTTAAAAAGCTGGTGCTTTAATAAATGGTCAAAAAGTCGTAGAAGCTGAGATATTTATATTTTTAGTCCTTAGCATCTCAAAAACACTGTACCTTATGTTTCGTATTATGCAACCAATAACATTTTCATATAAAGCAGTTTGTAATTTAGGCTTTCTGTTACAAATTTCGAGTATCCCTCAGGGTTAACTCCACTGAAATACTTTACAACTAAAAATGAGTAAACAACTGTTTTCACTGGCTGACTCCTCCTCAGTTTAAATTATTTTTTTTAATCCAAAGAATGGCACCCACATATAACTGAGGTACGATCAAGTGTTTAAAGATTTGCATTCTGCAACGTTAAACATCCATTGCCTTAATGCCAACTGGGAGCAACATGTTAGAAAAGGGTGAACAGGTGCGCAACTAATTTTAAAAATTCTTTGTGACACATGTATGTTTGGAGGCTGAACCAACCCTGCTCAGAGGTGATAAGACAGCACCTGAAATGTGGCCACTTGGGGGCAGCAGAAACAAGCTGTGACCAGTTTTTGTCAGTTGCTCTTATTTATTGGTTTCTCGAATCATCATTAATTCGATTCATTAATCATCATTTGTGAAACAGTCAGTGCGTTTCTGGAAGCAGATCGTACAAACAGCACTACACAGAGAATTACCAGCAAAAGCCAGTGACTTGCTCAAAATCCTTAGTCTGTCTCTTAAAAGTTAATAAATTATGTCAGTCCATGTGTCATTAGATAGTCAAAATGTTGCATAACATAGTACACTGGAAGTATATTCTGATGTAAACTGTGGTTTGGAAGACAATGATTGAAAATGCACAAGGCTGCTATTTCTTTAGTATAACTTATCAATACATATCAGTACAAAGTTATACAAGAGTGGACAAGATTCACAGTTACGCTTTTGCTGTTTGTACTGTAATTTGTTGAGAGAGAATGACATTGTGATACAATTAACTGTCCTTATGTTAAATATAGCTTTGGCAATATTGTTGCTATACATTCATGCCGATAAAAGCTAATTTGAATTTGATACAGAAAATAAACCCTTCAAGGCTGACGTTCCTGTCTGTCCAGCCGCAGATTCTCATGCACATCACGGATATTCTTATCAATTCCAGACAATCATACAAAAGTCTAGTAGACTTGTATATAAAATATGCTTGACAGATTATGACGTGTTTAACCATTTTGCAGGTAATGACTTATACAAAGAATGTATGCCTAGATGTTTTGAGGGGTAAGCCTATTTAACAGAGAACTAGTATAACACATTGTGATCAACATGACATAAGCAATTGATAATGTAGGAAACACCAGACGATTGTACATAATAATTTGCATAAATGTGTCAAAGCATTTGTTCAAAAGGATGAGAAATTGCTTATATGATGTGCACGAGTGACTCGATGGGGAGGTTGTAGTTTTGAGAATTTCACTTCTTATCCGAGAAATGTATTAAAGACACTGAAAAAAAACTTTAATAAATAAACTGTAGTTGAAGTGATGCCTTTGGGAAACATCCTGTTTTTTAGCTGGTAAATGCTCCACTGTGTTCACCATATAAGTGCTAACTGTTAGTGTTTGCTTAGTGGGTTTTTAGAGCTTTTTCACTGAAAGCTTAGTGAGAGTGAACCAAAACAGTAAAGTTACAGGCTTTAACACCAACCTTCTTTTACATTACATCACAGACAGTCATTTGACCCATTGTCATAAAGATATTGATTATAGCAGCTTAAAATAGCAATATCAGTCTGAAATATCTAACAGTGATTAGCCTTTTTCTTCTTTACCACATGTTTTAATGTGAATAATTAAGCATCTTAATTTTCTTTTTTCTTTTGCTTGCAGTACTTTGAGCATGTGGAGGAGGCCGAGTGGGCAGTCCAGGTTTTGAAGACCACAGGCAAGCCTGTTGCTGCAACTCTGTGTATTGGACCTGAAGGAGATCTGAATGGAGTCAGCCCTGGAGACTGTGCTGTCAGACTCATCAAAGCTGGTATGACAACATCTCAATTTCTCCTTTATGTATGAGGCTGTTAAAAAATCCTGTCCCACAATGGGTGCAACAGCCTTTCACCCAGCTATCGTATCATGGAAGACGGTTTGGAGAAAAAGTATGCTTGGGAAGATGAAGGTTGGAGCCAGAACTCTCAGCTTGAGGCGATAGACGTCTGTGCAAGATTAAAAGATTCTCCACACTAATGTTGCCTGTATCTTGTTTTGGCTCTGATAAGTTTGCACGTTTCCAATTCATAGGAGCTCATATTGTGGGCGTTAACTGCCACTTTGACCCGGAGACCTGTGTGAAGACGGTGAAATTGATGAAGGAGGGAGTGGAGAAAGCCGGACTGAAGGCTCACTACATGAGTCAGCCGCTGGCCTACCACACTCCTGACTGCAACTGTCAGGGCTTCATTGATCTGCCCGAGTTCCCCTTCGGTATGTATACACACAGAAAACTGATGCTTCTCACCACTTAATTTCTCAATACACATATTTAAGACAATAATACACTCGTGTTCAACTGTGTGTTCTCCGATAGGTCTGGAGCCGAGGGTCCTGACCAGATGGGACATGCACAAATATGCCCGGGAAGCGTACAACGCTGGCATCCGTTACATCGGAGGCTGCTGTGGATTTGAACCCTACCACATCCGTGCCGTGGCGGAGGAGCTGGCTCCTGAGAGGGGTTTCCTGCCTGCTGGCTCGGAGAAGCATGGCAACTGGGGCAGTGGCCTGGAGATGCACACGAAGCCTTGGGTCAGAGCTAGGTAGAGATTTCTTTCTTTTTCCACATCTGTTCTTTCAAAATAACGGCAGTTTAGTTAAAAGACTTATTCCTTTCTGTAGGGCCCGTCGTGACTACTGGGAGAAACTGAAGCCTGCGTCAGGCCGTCCCTTCTGCCCCTCGATGTCCAAACCCGATAGCTGGGGTGTCACAAAAGGCCACGCTGACCTGATGCAGCAGAAGGAGGCCACCTCCCAGGAGCAGCTGAAGGCTCTCTTTGAGAAGGCCAACAAAGGCCAGTGAGCTACCCATCTGTTTGTAGAAGCCAAGAGATGCTCCAGACAGTCCCTTTTTAAGTTTACATATCAAACGATCGAAATGCTGAAGTTCTCTGTGCCTTGAGACCATTTTTAGTGAGTTTAGTAAAGTTAGATTTTCCATAAGTCCATAAGTCTTGTAAAATTACTGTGACAACAAAACTCAATTTAGCAGCCCACATGACTTTTACACTGCTGAAGTAGCTAATGTTGTCTTGGAAAAGAATTAAAAGATGTGTATCAATAAACTTCTAACATAACATAATCAGCATGTGTGAGTGGGTTTTGTCCATTTTGGAGGGGGGCTGAGGAATTATTGTAATGTAAATACACTAAACAATTCTACTTGTCACCTGTAAAATTACTAAAAACAAGGATACAGACTGCGCATGATATTTGTTGGAATGGAACCAGGATAGTTAAAAAGAGGAGGAAAGTATAATGAAGTTTCAACTGAGGCATAGTTTGTCTGTGTATGGTTGCATGTGTATGGTGTATGCTCTTCAGTGGTTCAAATTAAAACAATGGCAGCATTAAATTTTCTTTGGACAGTTAGAACAAGTTTTGACAAGCGCTGCTGCCATCTAGTGGATGAAATCACTTCATAAAGAAGGAGCTATGTAATTTATTTTTTTCCATCAGGAGTATTGAGGTTTTTATCATAAGGGTTATTTTGCTGGTTAGACTTTTTTATATTAAAATGTTTCTTAATTAATGGAGTTCCAATGAGACTGAACCAAACAAGGACTGCCAAGTCAGTTTACAATCAAGTGATATCCATTGTTGGTGCTCTTATTTTTGTAACCGAGAACAGTAATTAAAGCTATGATTTACTGTGTTTTTATTCTTGATGTCCAAAGGAAATATTTAGTTATGGTCTACACAATGAGAAACACATTTATGGATGTAAATGCTCCATATTTGTATAGCACCTTTCTAGCCTTTTTGACCACTCAAAGCACTTTTACACTGCCCAAGGACACTTCGACATGCAGCCCGGAGATTGAACCGCCGACCTTGCGATTAACGGGCAACCCACTCCATCTCCTAAGCCACAGCTGCCTGATGCCACCCAATGTGATATTACCCTGCTGGCAGACTTCTTTAATTGATATAATGCATGACCTTCACCCTGTATGTTCGACCTGGGTCTTCATCTTTTTTTCAGTCCCTTTTCCTCAACAAAATAAATATCTTAACAGAAAAATTTAAAAAAGTGCTGATTTGTTCGTGATTCAAATGAAATAAATCAAACATTTATTAAACATTTGTAATATTGTTACAGTGAAAATTTTATTTGTTTTTGTTCAAATCTAACTAGCAGTTACTAAGCCTCTAGTGTTGCACATATGAATAAAAACTCAGTGTGGCTTTTAATATCTTTACTAAAATCTGCAACATACATCAACAGATTGGTCAGCTCGGTCAGTTAAGACTCACCTTAAGTTACAGAAATGCACTGCTATGTTGAGGCTTCTCACATAACTCACTAATAAAGGAAAACATTTGGCACAACTCCTACATTATACAGATTAGTATTGTAGCTTCTGTTTATTACAGCTGCATGTACAGTCATGTTAAAGGCTTTATAGACACAATATTTTATATGTACCGCCACAAGGACTACATACATGGACTATTTACGTCTACTTACTTGTGTACGTACCATTCATATATTATGTGGGCTTGCAAAATACCTTCAACATACACAAACAGATCGGTACATTGTTATGAGCATGGTCTGCACTGCCTTGTTGAGGCTGCTCCTAACATAACTCACTAACAGTATACTCCCTCTTGTGGTAAAAGTGGGATCTAACACTTACTTTTTAACAATGCCCTGCTTGTGTACAGGACACAGGACACAATACATAATTAAACAATACCAATACCAAAAAAGTATCACAAAACAATACATGAAGAAACAACTAAACAAACCCCACTGCTACACTCTAAACAACATGTAAGGGGGTGCCTGTGTTATGAACCTAAGAACCCATTAACCTCACATAATACAGAGCTAGTGCAACCCAGTGCAGGTGTGTAGATGTAGCTGAGCATGGGGCAAAAACAAACACTAGGAAAAAACTGATGACAATCGCACTAATCACCATTCACTCCCTGGTCAAATGACATCGGCAGTGATGCAGGTAGTGTCCCCTGTTTCTGATTAGCGGATGTCTATCAGGCCTCAATGTTACATCCATACGTGTGTAGTAATAATAATACCATACTAGGTCTGCCGTCTGAGTTGTTGTGTTTTTCAGAGCACACAAACACTGTAAACACACACCTTACAGATGGATAGCATTCCTTTCACTGTTGACTTTGTTTGTGAGGCTACATAGACAGAAATGCTATACACTTTTAGTTATGGTATTACGTCCTCCAGCCCACTTGACGTAATACCTACAAAGTTTTTACTGAAAGTAATGGATTCTGTTGGGCCCCATTTGATCTCTGTTTTCAACAGCTCCCTATCTACTGGTTGTGTCCCTGATTATTTTAAAACGGCTTGCGTGAACCCACTTTTAAAGAAACCTGGTTTAGATCCCTCCATCCCACATAATTTTAGACCAAAGAGAGTGAAAAACAATAAGTAGACATTATTAATCAGCTAAATATGTACTGCAATAGGCCAAACCCAACTGAAGATGAAATACAGAAGATATTAAACCTCCAACCTAAACTAGATGAAATTTACAGTCGTAAGGCCCAAGGGGCATTCATTAGATCCAGAGCTAAGTGGATAGAGGAGGGGGGAGAAAATTCAGCTTATTTCTGTGGTCCTGAAAAAAAGAAGACAGGAAAAAAATAGTATCAGATCCTTGATGGTTGATAATAATGAAGTCACAGATTTATTGAAATTGATATCTTCAGAAATCTTGAAATTCTATAGCCAGCTCTATAGCTCTAAATTTTCTAACGTGGACTGTCAGATTTGTTTTTCAGGATATAGCAAAACACATTCCGAGAGTAGAGGATGGCCTCAAACAAACATGTGATAATCAAATAACAATTACCGAACTTGATGCAGCAATTGGTCGTCTCTCTCTTAACAAAGCCCCCGGATCCGACGGTCTCACAGGTGACTTTTACAGACATTTTTGGGTAGAATTAAGAGACCTGCTGCTGCAAGATTTTACTGAAATATTTGAAACATGTGTGCTTCCCCCAACAATGAGACATGGGATCATCGTCTCAATTCCAAAACCTGGGAAAGATCCCAGAATTATAGACAACAGAAGACCCATTACACTCAGAAACTCTACTACAAACTCCTTTATAACATCTTCACTTCTCGTCTTCAAACAGGGATTTCGGATCTTATTGCAGATACACAATCAGGGTTCTTAAAAGGAAGGTCAATCCATAATAATATTAGATTGGTGAGCGACATCATTGAATATAGAAGTCAAATAGAGGATGATGGTTTCCTTCTCTTTCTAGACTTCTATAAAGCATTTGACTCCGTGGAGCATCCATTTATCCTTTCGGTGCTCCTTGGATTTGGAGTCAAGTTTAGAGGATTGGTTGGTGGATTATATGGAGATATTAATAGCGGTGTCCTATTACCTAGTGGTGCCACCCCAAGCTTCAAGATTAATGTGGGTATTCCTCAAGGTTGCCCCATCTCACCATACCTGTTCATCTTAGCCACAGAAATGCTAGCAATCTATATTAAAAACTGTAATGATATTAAAAAACTTAATGTACTTGGCACAGACATTATAATCAGCCAACTAGCAGATGACACAACAATATTCTTAAAAGATAGATACCAAATTACAACAACTATTGCCAAAATCGAAAAGTTCTCCAAAGCATCAGGCCTAACGTTAAACTTAAAAAAGTGTGAATTGCTGGCTGTACACGACACTTCACTGAAAGACATCTGTAGTATCCCTATTAAATCAGAAATTAAATACCTGGGGATTTACCTATTTAAGGACCAAAAACAAAGCCAACTTCTGAATGTAGAAAATAAATATGTGGCTACAGAGGGACTTATCAATACTAAGTCGAATTTACCTGACTAAGATTGAATGTTTATCGAGGTGTATTTACGCTGCCTATTCCAATGCTATTCCAAACAAATTCATTAAATCTATCAACCAAATCAACTTAAACTTCATTTGGAGAAACAGACCACATTATATGAAGAAAAGCAGTATGGTTAAAGACACAATGGATGGAGGACTCAAAGTTATTGATTTTGACTGCCTTAATGGCACATTAAAAATAAATTGGGTAAAATCTCCTTCTGGTACTGTATTCCAAATACCTTATTCAAGAAAACTGGAGGCTTAGAATTTCTTCTTAGAGCGGATTTTAATGTTGACAATTTACCTATATCGTTGTCAGAGTTTCACAGACAAATACTCTTGTATTGGAAAATGTTACATGTACATAACTTCTCACCCCACACATCCGTACTCTAGAACAACAGATATGTTTTGCACCGCAACAAATCTCTGTTCTTTGAAGATTGGTATGGGAGAAATATATGGTCCATAGCTGATTTAATGGATACCAAACGGACATTTTTTTAATTATGAACAATTTTGCATCAAACATAATTTCAAACCCTTAAAATCAGACTTTACTAAATTATATAGAGCACTACCCCAATAATTTCACTTTCTAACAAGAAACATTTTGGCATATCATCCAATACAACCACAATTGGCCCCACTATCAATTCAAGGAATCTCTGTTCTGGATAGAAAATGCACTAACCACTTTATTAGAAATTGTTTTACTGAATACCTTTACCCTGAAAGATTCAATTACTAAACTAAGAACATTATATCTATCACTCCCTATACCCCCCAAAGTGAAAGAAACACATTTCAAAGTATTGAGCAACATTTACCCCTCTAAAGAATTACTAAGACTTCGCTTTGGTATAGATGACATGCACATTTTGTGAAAGTGATATCGAAACTACGGACCATGTGTTTTTCTCATGCAATGTGATACAGA